TTATTTCGCTGTAACTCATGCTGGGTTGTATCTTTGGCTACCATTTGGCCTGAGGGTCCGTGGCAGTTTGGAGTCCCTGGAAACACGCATGAGACATGCATACCATGATGCCACCCTCTCTCGGCACTCGCTGTGGCATGCCCAGGAAGTCTCTGGGGATAGCGTACAGCTCATCATTGGCTTTTCAGACAGGAGGTCAGGGCTGCCACACCATGCTGTCTTTTGGAGGAGTCAGGGATGGGTCCCCTAGCTTCCATGCCTTAGCTCAGGAATTGCCAGAGCAAGAAAGACTAGCCTTTGGTGCTGCTGCCCTCATGCTTGGGCAGAGTGTTGCTCTCACTCCTCACCAGTTGGGCGGAGCTGGCGTGGTGAGGCTTCTCCGATTTCAAGCCTGTGCCCATGATGGAAGCCTCCATGTGTGCTGAGCAGCTTCTGGCTTCCTGGCAGCGTGGGTGCTGATGGGTGCACCGACTCTTAGTGCCCTTCTACAGCTGAACGGGACCTGGCTGGTGGGGTGAACCATATGGCTTGAAAGACCCATGCACGACCCCCAGCCCTGCCCGTGGGCTGGGCCAGGCACAGCTCCCATCCTTATGTTTCCCATGGCACCTGCTGTTCCCAGAGCCTGTCTCTCTTCACACTTTTGTTTCTTTGCCTCAGGGACAGCAAGATGCTTCTGCTCAAAGAGTCCTCAGATCGACCTCCCCTTGAATGGTTTGTATGCTGGCATGGCCACCCAGCATGCTGTGATGGGGCCTCTGTGTGTCTTCTGGCTCTCTATGTGGCCACATGAGGCTAGGAGGCATTTGTTGTGTTGCAGAGTGGCTTCATTAGCGGGCCAGGGGATTCTGGGCTGCTCTTGGCGTAAGTGAACACAGTCATCCCCAGCATTCCGTCGCCATTGACTCCATGTGAGGAAGCAGAAGATGTCCGGATGCTTCACTTTGCATCAGTCCCCAGGTACAGGAGGAGTCCATCTGGGGCTGATGAGTCATGTTCTCAGCAGCGTTGCTCTGTGGAGGTAGACTTAGCTGTGCTTTGTGATCTTGATGTCACCGAAGCATGGAAAATGTCCTGAACCCTACTGCAGTTGCCTGGTAGGTGTGGCAGCTTCCCTGGGAACTTGTTGGATGTGCAGTTTCCTGGGCCTCATCATGTACTCAGAACCTCCAGGGAAGCCCCTGTCATGTAACTTTGCTGGGCTGTGTGGTGGGAGACCTCCTGCTTTGGAGTGGGATTATTTGCTAGAACTTTCTGCAGCTGTTGAACTGTCTGGCACGGGAGTTGTTAACCACTTGTGACTGATGAGCTCATGAGAAGCACAGCTGATGACTGCAATGAAATTCATCTGATTATTAATTTCAGTGTCTCTTGGTTTAATCTTAGGTCACTGCGTGTGACTAGTAGTTGTCCACTGGGCAGCCCAGCTCCAGAATATTCCACTATTAGTTACTGTGTGGAGAAACTCCTGAAATGCTTTACATATAAATCATTGGTTATAGAATCTAGAGTTTTACCTCGTAGGACAATGTTCTCCCAAAGTGAAACTCCTGCTTTCATGATGGTTTATTTGGATTCTTCTGTAGTCTGGAGGCAGGAGGAAGTTTGCTGCTTACTGGCCTGCTGGGGGCAGCAGCACCCAAGCGAGGCACTGTGAGACCAGTGGCTGGTGCCTTTGGCTGCTGTAAGAGCGAACTGGTGATGGTGATGGGGACTCAGCCTTTCAGGAAGGGGTCAAGGTGTTGTCCAGGGTGAGGGCTGAGTCTGTGGTTTCTTCCAGTTGGAGTACCGGTCCATCACACATAGCCAGTGAGGTTGGGAGTTGGAGAGGTGGGAAGAGCTGTATTTTGAGGCTTGCTGGCTAAAAAAGCTGTAAAAGAGATGTTAATGAGCTTTTTCAGGCACTGTGGGTCTCTCATGGAACCTTACAGAAATTGAAGTGAAGGGATGGTTGAAGTGCTGAATTAGGAATGACACATCAGATCTAGACAAAACTCTAGAATAGCATTCAGTTTGACTTATGAGTATATTTTAAAATTATTTACTTGTGACAGAGATGGGGAAGGGGGAAGGGAACAACTGTCGGAAGGGAAGAGGAGAGAGAGAGAGTGAGTGAGTAAGCAGGGGGCAGGCCCACAATGGCTAGGGCTAAAGCCAAGAGCTAGGAACTCAATCCGAGATGCCCATGTATGTGGCAGGAAACCAGTCATTTGAGCCATCACCTGCTATCCCCCAGAATCTGCATCAGCTGGTAGCTGGAGCCAGGACAGAAGTCAGGAACTGAACTTGGCTGTGGGATGTGGGCATCTTAACCAGGGTGTTAGACACTGGATCAAATGCTAGCTCCTGGTTTAGGAAGATTTCAAGGAGTGAGAGAATAATGCTGGATTTGTCTGAATTGATATAGTACCAGAGGGACAGTCTTGGGGCAGTTTCTGTGCTAACTTGCCATAATTTTGTCTCTTTTTTCCAAAATCCCATTGGAAGTTTTGGGCCAGGAGTGGTGCTGGTAGTTGTGTGATCCTGTGGCCAGGTAACATTTAGGAGTCATGGAACACCTGAGAAGGGTTGGGATGGCTTTCTCAAATCTAGCAAGTGAAATCTCCAAATTAAAGGAACCATCACCAGTGAAACAGAAAATGACACCCAGTTCTTTGTCGGAAGCCACGTTCTACATGACTGAGCTTCCTAATTGAGGGTCCCATGGTTGCATTATTTAAATCCCTGGCATTGATTTTCATAATCCAGCTCTCAGAATCATGGAATGTTAAAACCAGGAAGGTGACAGCTAGAAGTGGTCACAATCCACTTTCCTTGTTTTATATTGCAAGGGAAGAGAGGCTCCGAGGGGCCAGGGTGGCAAGGCTCATCCAGAAGGACCCTGATTCTGGCCAGGGCGTCCAGGATTCCTCAGCACACTGCCCTTCTTTCTGTTCACTCTATGTGCTAGGCTCCTCAGTGTCTTGGGATGGAGAACACCTGGAGTCAGAGGGCACAAGTTAGATGCAGGAGAAAGTAGAAAATAAGATTGATAAGAAAGGCATAATAAGAATATGTTGATATTCACTGTCTTAGAGCTCTTATTCTTACTAATTTGTCATGGAGACATCTTCAGAACTCCAGTGGAATATTTTGACTGGTGAAATATTGCAGTTCTTTCCATGGTAGCTAAAATATCTGGACCATGTATGCTGATGATTGAATTACCGCAGGACTCATTAAGTTTTTTTAAAAATTTATTAATTTATTTGAAAGTTACAAAGACAATTACAGAGAGAGAGGGAACCAGAGAGTTTATCAAGGTTGATACCGCTTTGTTTCGTAACTTTCTTACTTCCCTCCCGAAGTGTTTTGATGTGCCTGCAGAGTGTGGTGCTTTGCACGTAATTGACATCCCCTAAATACTGACTGAAGGAATGGATGGCGTCCCATCCAGACAGCTCTCAGTGTTCATTTGCTTTAGATTTTTACTATAGTTGGGGGGCATTTTTTTGTCATTTAGGGAGACTATTATCTGTGTAAGCCCTTCCCATCCATTTCCCCTCCCCCGCTTTATCTTGCATGGTGCCCAACAAAGACTTCACATGCACACCAAAAGGTTGGGAAAGTTTTTGTCAATTGAATGTGAGGTTATTGTTTGTGTCCACAAAACAAAGCCCTAAATCACATTTAGCATAATTTGTGGTTTTAAATTGAACTGATTTAGCAAGGAGAGTGAAATAATCTCTCATCCTGTCAAAAAGGCGATACCTTTAGACCAGCATTTAATTGCATCGGCAGAGTAACTTTGGGAAAGCAGCAGTAATTCTGGCTGCATTATTCTTGGTTTGTGGCTAAATTGAGATCATCATTTTCTCCTGGTTTCCACTAACTTTATTGTTCTTCAAACTAATCAGATGAATGTGGTAGTTGCTGGATGTTAGTGGTAGCTGGAGGGTGGTATGGAGGAAGGGATGGGGTCTCTGCATAGTTGTTCTTTTTCACTTTATGGACGCCGGGAAGAAGTAGGGTGACACAAGTGTGTTGTCTGAGGGGTTCCTGGGTGAACATATACGCAAAGTGGATGCCATTTGCAGAAAAAAATGTATGCATTCCCTTGAGGGTTTTGCTATTAGAGTTTATGTGAACCATAGGCAAGTTCATGGGCCGTGCAAATGTTTATAGAATTGAATAGCAAATGGAATGTATGAATTACAATTTGTTAAAAGTGTGCTATCAGTTTTAGCTTTAGATCTTTGAGGTATCAATGCCTTTGGTATGTGCTCTGGGGAAGGAGGTATTTTGCCCATCCCCAGTGATTTATGTTCACTTTTGATCTACATACTAGTGTTCACAGCATGCTGTTGAGTTGGTTTTCTGGAGGCATACAAAAACAGTGCATTGATTAGTTGCTGGTTCTGTGTGTGTGTGTGTGTGTGTGTGTGTGTGTGTGTGTGTGTGTGTGTGTGTATTGACCAAGTCACAAACTGAGGCAGGTTGAATATTTAATCATATGTGGTTCAGCTTAAATTGTTATTCCTTGCCATGTTCAGAGGACCGGTGTTGGTTTATTTGGACAGCCTGACTTGTACTATCACGCAGGAAAGGATTTGAAGTTTGCTGTGTGTCCTCTGAAAGAGAGGCAAGGAACAAAGAGTATGAAAACAGTTGCACTTATTAGACATGTTTTGACAGTTATGTCAATGTGCTTTGTAATATTCATCTGTAGCCTCTTTGTGGTCCAGCAATCCTCCTTTGCCGTTCTTTACTTCCTATTTCCTTTCTTCTTGTCCATCTGAGGCCAGCCTCAGCAGTGCAAGCACTCGTCTAATCATGCTAGTAACTTGTTTCAGTTCTATTTGGTGGCAGTACACTGTTACCTAAAAAATATATAAAAAATAGCCAAGACCGTAGTGGTCATACTGGGGGCACATCTCTCTTTCATTTGAAAGGATGTGTTGCTGGCATTCCTTGGGAGAGTGAGATTCCTGGATCCACATTGAGTGTTTTTGTTCTCATAGCTGTGCCACCAAACATAGCAGAACTGAAGAACTTGGAAGTGCTCAACTTCTTTAATAACCAGATTGAGGACCTGCCCACACAGATCAGCAGCCTTCAAAAACTCAAGCACCTGAACCTGGGGTGAGTAGGGAGTGGAGGAAAGGAAATGGAGGAGAGGGAAGGGGAGGGCAGGGTGTGGGCAAGGGAGGCTCCCACTTCTGTGCTTGCCTAGGAGGAGTGGATTTCTCATTTCTTTCCATGTTTTAGGTTTTTAAAAAGAGCTTTATTGGTTTAATATATCCTTTCAATAGCCTACATTAGCGTGCATCTATTTGAGAACTAATTGGGAAGCTAATTATTGGTGCAATAAGGGAGTTTTTTTTAACTGTATTTTGTTTCCAATAAAATTTTATTTCAGTTATGTTGACCAAGAAGGGACTTATTTGCATAGCATTAATGTTAACATAAATTGTAATGTGGCTTTTTTTCTCTATCTGGATAAAGTAGAGATAGTTTGCAAAGCACTTGCGTTCCCTGGAGAGAGGGACATGTTTCCTGGCGCCGCCTCCCACATCCTTGTGGTTCTCGAGGTTGAGGGTTTGGATCCCATGCCTTCCATCAGGCGGAGGTGAAGAGGCAGCTTATTCAGCCGAGGCTGCAGAACCAAGTAGCAGTGAATAGGAATAATAGCTTCCGCTTCAAGGGTGCTTTTCAGCTCTCAACATGCTCATGCCAGCATTTGGCCCTCTCACTGTCAGATGGGTAGAGAGGTGAAGCTTTCATGCCTTTGTTTCAGAGAGAGAAAGCCAGGCCTCCTGCCAGGGTTAAGTGACCTGCTCCTGATTAACCCTGAGGTGAGTGCCCGAGCCGGGGAGAGATTTATCTGGGTTCAAGTATTCTCCACTGCACCCCATAGACGCCACTGTAGCAGTGGCCACTCATGCCTCCTTTCCTGTGTGAGGCAATATATTCTTAAACTGTAGCCACTGAATGCTCTGATTAAGCCAGTGATTCACATGAAATGGCAATAGAGACTTGCCAGGGTATTTGCTGATTTAATGGGAAGTCATCATGGAAAAAAAAATCTCATTCACAAAATGATTTTTCATTCATTCCTACGTGGGGAGCTTGGTGAGACACTCTGGTTTTGAATTCTACTCTGATGGAGAGACCATCTTTGTATCAAGCTATCCGCATGATAGCTTCTCCTACCAGTCTGGAGACTAGATACTTATCTGGCAAAGCAGAAAAGGAAAGAACCTACATTTGCATATTGGTTTTGAAAATTCTAAAGTCCCAGTGTTGAATTTATATATAAGAGAAAAGCTAAGCTCCTTTTTAAAAAAAATATTTATTTATATTTGGGCCCGGTGGTGTGGCCTAGCGGCTAAAGTCCTCACCTTGAACGCGCCAGGATCCCATATGGGCGCCGGTTCTAATCCCGGCAGCTCCACTTCCCAGGAGCAGAAACAGGCAGAAAGGTCCTCCATCCAATGGTTCACTCCGCAACAGCCACAATGGCTGGAGCCGATCAGGAGCCAGGAGCTTCTTCCAGGTCTCCCACGTGGGCACAGGTTCCTAAGGCTTTGGACCATCCTTGACTGCTTTCCCAGAGCACAGACAGGGAGCTAAATGGGAAGTGGAGCCGCTGGAATTAGATCCATAGAAGATCCTGGTGTGTGTGTGTAAGACAAGAACTTTAGCCACTAGGCTACTGTGCTGGGCCCAGAAGCTAAACTTCTTATTAATTTGTTCATTTTTTAAGATCAATAAGAAAATAAATGGATTTTGATCACTAGGGACAGTGCCCGGTGCCAAGTGAGTGGTACATAGTGTTAGATATGATCATCTTTATTTTATTTGTCTTCCATTTATTTTGTGGTCCTGTCAGTAGCTACTCTGTGTCAGGAAATCTCTCTAGTGCTTGGGATCAGATGTGATGACCATGATCGGCACTAAGTGCAGGGGTCAAGGCCTGCTGAAAATGCACCGTGATGGCCCAGCACTGTCACTGACCGGGGCAGGGATGACAGCAGTGCAACTCAATGACCAGGAGAGTTAGCAGTGTGGATTAGCCTACTGAGGAGAAACTCTTAGAATTCTTGAAACAGGAAGCGGGATTCCTCTGACTTACAAGTACAAGAGAGGCATCTCATGCTGAGAGAATAGCATGTTTAAATGCTGAGAGCACTCTTCTGGGAATTTCAAGTTTATCAGTGTTGGTGTGAGTAAACTATGAGCCAAGTAAGATGAGACGAGAGGCCCGATAGGAATCATAACTCCTATTCCTCACTGAATGAGTACTTACTGAGTGTTTGTGTAGGTAGCAAGTGCTGATCTAGGTCCTGATGCCATTCAGTCATATGGAGCTTGCGATACAATTGAGGGAATAAATAAATGACCATGATGACTGAGAATCAAAAGTGCTAATGAAGGGATCCCATATACTGAGTAAAGGAACTCTGATTTTATACTACTGACCTTTGAGGATTTTGCCCAGCAGAATGGCTATGAAATGAGGTCAGATTGTGGGAGTGAAAGATTGGAATGAAGTGGGGTTCAGATGGAGGAGGCTTAAATCAGGAGAACCAAGCAGAATGCTAGCTCAGCATCCCAGGTGAATGTGGGCAGTGACTGGAGGTAAGGAGGAGTATGCTAAGGAAGACGGAAAGAAGGTGAATTGACAGGGCATTGACTGATGGGGCAGGGTGATATCTGGATTTCTGTGTTGTGTGGCTAAACTAGAAGTAGAGAGGGAGAGAAGAATTGGAGCAGAGGCAGTAAGCTCTGGTTTTATTTGGTTGGGTTTGCGTTCTCTGCCCTGGGACAGAGCTGTAGACTTTTCTTTTTCATCAAAGCTGTGTCTTTGTCCTCTCTGGAGCTGTTTGTCTTTTTGGCTCTGGATGCTTTATTGATTGTGTGAAGCTTTCTGTAGTTAATTATGAAGGCACAGAGATGGAGTTGTCAATGTTTGAACAAAATTCTTAGTTCTTTGGGAAAAGAATTAATATGAGCTTCAATAAAGGATGCTTGTTGTCCTTGAATGTCACCAAGAATGATACAGGTACAGTAAGGCAGATTTAAGGAAGGTTGTCCGGCGGTTTCTTACAATAAGCATCCAGAATTAAAATATCTAGAAAGTAGAGAACAAAGCAGGGCGGGGAGGCCACTGTAGGCACGATCCTGAAGGGACACTCAACCAGGATTTGCTTTTAAGGTTTTATATAGAATTGACTATTTATTCTGATGATCAAAAGAGAAACCTGAGGACTCCCAGTTAAATAACAGAAAGTATAGTCATGCTCTTAACTCCTTAAATGTGGTTCACCTTATAGGGACATTTAAAAAAAACCCATAGGTTACCTTCCGTAATTATTTAGGGAAAATCTTAACCATGGCTATTATTCTGGAATAACAGTTGACCCAGTTGATTGCTAGAGTTCATTTCCTGAACATTTACCAGTTTTCATTGAGCACAGAGTCAAATGTTTATGGATTTTTTTTCTTTTTGGCGAAATGTGTGAGTAGATCACCGAGGAGGTGAGAATTATTGTCTTTAGCTCAGCAAGTTTTTACTGACGCTGGAAGTGTCAAGATTATTTTGGTAACAAAATGCTCTGAAAGGGAGGCATTAGGACCCAGCATGATGGCCTAGTGGCTAACGTCCTCACTGCACATGCCAGGATCCCATATGGGCACTGGTTCTAATCTCAGTGGTCCCACTTCCCATCCAGCTCCCTGCTTGTGGCCTGGGAAAGGAATCGAGGACCACTCAAATCCTTGGGACCCTGCACCCACATGGGAGACCCAGAAGACGCTCCTGGCTCCTGACTTCGGATTGGCTCAGCTCTGGCCATTATGACCCCTTGGGGAGTGAACCAGTGGACAGAAGATCTTTCATCTCTGTCTCTTCTTCTCTTCGTATATCTGACTTTAAAATAAAAATAAATACATCTTTAAAAAGTAGCAATAATAGCAAAAACGGAGGCATTAGTACAGGTCGGGCTATGGCCTCTGGAAGAGGAAGAAAAATGTGCCAACCAAACCCAGATTGTTTGGCAGTGTGTAATGCCCCTGCCCATTTCTAAGATGCGTTTGAGAAATGTTCACATGCAAATGAAAGACTTTCTGTCATTTGGTGTTATTGAGCCTTAATGAACTTTAAATGCCTAAAGTGATCTGAGATTAAACCAGCATGATACAAATAGAAAATCTACACTTGAATAGTTTGATTTCTGCCGGTTGGCTTTCTGCTAAGGCTTTCTCCTTCTCCAGTTTGGGGCTGTGTTTGGTGCTTCCCAACAATCGTGCTGTGAGGGTGTTGTTAGTCTTGTGTTACTAGTGAGGAAGCCTAGCTCCACAGCAGCTGCACACTTTCCCCTGGTCATGTAGCTAGCAAGTGGCTAGCAAGTGTTAGAGCCAGCCTTCTCACCCAGCTGTTCCACATGTCCAGGCTTCGTTGTTCTGTCCCCACTGTAATTTGTCACAGAAACCTTGAGCCTGCTGCGTGGAGAGACAGCGCCTCCTTCTGGAGCAGCCTCTGTGGACGTGCACACACTCAGCGGGCAGTCCTTGTGGGTCCTTCCTGCACCTTTGGCAGCTGGAGCTATTGTTCACATTGCTTCTGGACTTACTGAAGCATTTGTTTAAATAAGGGCATCCCTTTTACTGCCAGATTAGGGAATCCACTGCTGCTCCCAGCTGTTATTTGTACAGGGGACTCTACTGGGCTGTTGACTGGGAGTACTGGCTTGTCATTCAGAGGAGGAAGAACCTGTGGTTTGGCACATTCCCTCGGTTTGCTCAAGGCTGCCAAGTGGATGGGAGCTCTGCTAGGAGTAAGATATGTTTTCCCCTCCAAGGATGTCTAACTGTGGATTTCCTCTGCCTGTTATTATAAAAGTGTCTTAATGTGGTTAGAAAAAAATGACTAATAATTTTCAAAAATAGGTAATTTAAAGCATGTTTAAAAAAAATACATACATATTTTTTTAATTTGAAAGGCAAAGACACATGGCCACAATACCTCCAACAACCAGGTCCTGGCCAGGTTAAACTTGAGAGCAAGGCACTCAGTCTCGACCTCCCATGTGGGCAGCAGGAACCTAACTTCTTAAGCTTTCACCTGCTTCCTCCCAAGGAGTGTATTAGTGAGGGAAAAGATGGAATAGGTAATGATGGCAAGACTCGAACTCAGGTACTTTCAGGTGTCCCAAAATGCTGGCTTAAGATGCCGAATCCTGCCGTTAGCCTGTTTCTTCATCTGAATGCAGAAATAATTGTAAATTCTACGTTGCTGCTATCCTAGCTAGTTTCAGCGAATGGATCATAATACTTGATGTAATTGTGCTTCCAGACTGTGAATTCATAGAGTATGAGTTACTGTCATTACGGTAGTTATGCAGGTAAGCTCGCCATATGTAAACTCCACGTGGGAATTTTTCTGCCTGAGGGGTGAAGATTCAGTTTTCTCTTGGTTTGCCCTCTGTTACCTGCTGTTTCTCATGAGACCTCTTTGGGGAGGGTTGGACAGGATTGTATCTGCTATAAGGATCAACGGCTAGAATGATTTTTTTTGTGTCACAATTCTTCCCAATTTGCAATATGTCAATATTTGCCAATTTTTTTGTTTTAATGGGCTTCAAGTAGATTGATTCAAGGGTACTTCATTGAGGAAAACTATAAGTCTAAAAGAATAGGATAAAAAAGTTAGGAAAAAAATTTCCTTTAGTTTTTAGATCCCCACTAAAGATATGCACGTGAGATTTTCAAAAGTTCATGAAACATCAATATGGTAAAAGCAACAGCAACAAACTATGCATGGAGTTCAAAAAATGTACCAAAGTAACCTTCTCTTTAAAACAGCTTGTTTTTTTTTTAAAGATTTATTTTTTATTATTTTTTTATTGGAAAGGCGGATATACAGAGAGGAGAGACAGAGAGGAAGATCTTCTGTCCGATGATTGACTCCCCAAGTGAACGCAAAGGCCGATGCTATGCCTATCCGAAGCCAGGAGACTCTTCTGGGTCTCCCACACAAGTGCAGGGTCCCAATGCCTTGGGCCGTCCTCGACTGCTTTCCCGGGCCACAGGCAGGGAGCTGGAAGGGAAGCGGGGCTGCCGGGATAGAACCGGCGCCCATATGGGATCCCGGGCGTGCAAGGCAAGGACCTTAACCCCTGTGCCACCGTGCCAGGCCCTAAAACAGCTTGTTTTTAAATTTATCCATATGAAAGGCAAAGAGTCCCTTCCTAACGGGATGTCCGCAGCTGGGTACCAGATGCCAGCCTTGCTTGAGGGAAGCGGAAGCCTGAATCCTTCAGCCATCACTGCTGCCTCCCAGAACCTTCATTAGTAGGAAGCGAGAGTCTGGAGTCAGAGCCGGGGATTGAACTTGTTCACTTTGATGTGGAATATAGCTGCCTTCTTATCTTGCTAGGCCAAACACCTGCCTTAAAACTTTCCATCCACCTTTTACAGTGCCCTCATATTGTACATGATAGTCACCATAGATATAGTTAATAATAATATACACAGTGTGTTTCTAAAGGGAGTAGATTTGAAGTGTTCTAACCACTAAAACATGATCAAGCATCTGGGGCAGCATGATTTAGCATTTCTATAATATATACATATATTAAAATGCTATGTTGTGTGCCATTAATATATAAAGTTTTGACTTGCCAATTGAAATAAATGTTTAAAAAACTCAGAGTGAGTAGACAAGCGTGGCCCTGTGATGTGCCCAGCCTGTGTGATAGGTGTTCCCGGTCTGTATTTTGTGTGTGGTGACCTGAGTTTTGCTCTTGACAACAGCATGAACAGGCTGAACACTTTGCCTCGAGGATTTGGCTCCTTACCAGCTCTTGAAGTCCTGGATTTGACTTACAACAACTTGAATGAAAATTCTCTTCCTGGAAACTTCTTCTACCTTAGTAAGAAACTTTTAATTCTATAAATCTCTTTAACGTGGTGCTTTGCGTTCTTGGAGTGGAATTTATTTGCCAGGACCCAAACGTTAAGAGAAATGATTGGATATATATTTTTTTTCTTCACAGATTCCATTTGAATATTCCTTCATAGCTCAGCAGTATGTGTGGGTTGATGAATGGGTATCTGACACCATCAGGCGGAAGTGGACTCAGTAATGTCATATTCACTTTCTATGGGAGGTTATGTATCTAAATGAGATCTGCTCTCCCATTTAGTTAAGAAACTGGACTTTCTTTTTAAAGCACGTGCCAAAAAGAAGCTCTCCTAAGCTGCTAATACTTCTGTGTAGGATATTTGCCCAAAGATAATATAATCAATTAATTGTAAAATATTCATGAATAAACTCATAATTTTTAAAATATTCTCACCAGATTTCCTAAAGTATGAGTAGTTTCACAAATTACTTTTGTCCAGTACACAGTCAAATAATAAGAGAAAGTTAGCCACCCAGAACACACGGCGCCATTCATCTGCAAGCAAATTTATTGCTGCCGATGCTCCTAAAAGTTAAAAAAAGCTACTTTTCCAGGAATTTATGAAGTGTTTCTGAAGAGTTGCTTCTGTTGTACAAATACTCTACTTCTCTAAATAGTAATGGCATCTGTGACATTCAGGACTTCTATAATTTTCTGAGCTAGTCTCTAAAATTAACCTAGGTAATTTTTTGCCTGCGTATATTCACGCTGTATCTTTTATTTTAAGTCTATGTCCATTTTCTGTCTCAAGCATGTGAAACCAACTCTAAAATATTTTCTTGAGCGTTTAGGGTACAAACTACCTTTGTTATGTTTATTAACTTGTAGTTCTGTTGAATTTTAAAACAATTGAATATGCTTAAATACTTGTAAATAAATTAAAGGGTGTAACTACCTCCCCCCCCATTGGATAAGAAAATGTGTTAGCCATCAGTAGGCTGAGGTTGTGTTGTCAAGTTTAATGTTCACGAACAAAGTGGCTCCTGATATTGTGCTGAACTAGACTCTGTCCTGTGAAACCTGTGTCATTATTGTATTCCTTTTGTCTTTATATATTTTAATATATATTTCAATAAAACTAAGATTATAAAAGTAACTTAAAATAATTAGTCTGATTACAGAAATGTTGAATTGTAGCACTCAAATTTCCCCCAGAAACTTCTCATTCATGTGTTTAGTTTTAACATGGGTTCTGTTTACAGAAGAAAGTTCTGTCTTAACCTCATTCTATTTACATGAAAGAACACTTTTGCTCTAGGAGCTGCCTTAAGTGACAAGGTGGTTCTTTTTGTTTCACGTAAAGGGTGCAGATGGAATCAGTGATGTGAGTTGAAACTAATAGAGAAAAGTAGCTGTCTTTTCTTGAAATGCACTGGAATTCTGTGCCTGAAACCGCCCATGCCCATGGTTGTTAATTGTGTCAGTCCTTTTGGATATAGATGTTTTCCTGGATATACCAGCCACACAATAAGCCAGTAAATCTAAGTTTGACCTGCTTCTTATTATTGTGAGTCCTAGGTATGTCACCAGCTTTTCACCAAGCCAGGGTTATTAATCAAAGCTGACTCCCTGGTATTGATCAGACCTCAGATGGTTGGGTTCCATGCCACCCTGCTTATATATTGCTGTTTAATTTGCAGCCACCCTCCGTGCACTCTATCTCAGTGACAACGATTTTGAAATCCTGCCGCCAGATATCGGGAAGCTCACAAAGTTGCAGATAGTAAGTAATTTATCTAAATTCTTAGAAAATCAATTCACTTCTGCAGCCCTTGTAAGAATGGAATCAAGTCAATTGGAGTGGGAGTAAGGTTGGTTTTGCAGGAATAAGCCACGACTCTTGATCCTGCCTCTCGTTGAGTTGCAGACACTTGTAAATAAATTGAAAGACTTGAGCCTGAAAAAGGAAGAGGAGAGGGTTTGGGAGAGAGTGGGAGCTTATGTTGAGCACCTCTTCGTGTGAAATTGTTTTGACAATGCCTTGTTTTCTTATGTTTAGCTCAGCCTTAGAGATAATGACCTGATCTCTCTGCCCAAAGAAATTGGGGAACTTACCCAGCTTAAGGAACTCCACATTCAGGGGAACCGCCTGACTGTTCTGCCCCCAGAATTAGGTAAGGCTGCTGTGACTGACCTTAGGTGTGATTTTAATTAATAATGGTTATCCAAGCGCAGTGATGGTGAGCAAGCGCTGTCCTGGCACATAACCTGCACCGAGGCACCTGATTTTGATTGATTTTATGGCTATTTATCATTCACCAGTGTTCAGCTGTTTTGCCTTTGACTTGCCCAGGGGGTGCTGGCTTCTGTGCATGTGCAGCCAGCATCCCAGAAACTTGCTGAAAGGTGCCCCTGCTCAGCTCCTTGCGTAGTGCACTGGGAAGAGCCTGGGATTAATAGGAATTGTTTTATTCAGGGCTTCTCATTTACTAACTGGGTAAGCCTTGGTGTTCCTGTTTAGCTTACTTACCACAGTTACGAAAGTATCATTCCTATTTACTTTTATTTACTTATTTGCAATCAAAGTGTTTATTATAGCTATTTGAGCATTTCGTTCCCAGTCATGACTGGTTCTCTCCTGATGCCATCTTCATTTGGAACTGTTTTTTGTTTTGTTTTGTTTTGCTTTCTTTAAGATTTTTATTTTAGATGATGCTTACATAGTTGATCAGGGTGGGAAGGATTGAGGGTCAGGGATAAGAGGGTGTGATCATTGCTTCCAGGCTTTCCATTTCTTTTTCCTGTATCTGGGAGGCAAGGGGAGAAGCCACACCCAGCCTCTCCACCACTCCAGTATGCAGGGATGGGGAACAGCGACCTTATTGACCCAGGATCTTAATGTGGCGTGTGCTTAGAGGGTTCTGCCCAGAAGGTGTCGAGAGTTCTGCAATATTATGGATCTCTCTGATCCAAGGATGAGGGAACACTTTCTTTTAAGATTTATTTATTTTTATTGCAAAGTCAGACATACAGAGAGGAGGAGACAGAGAGGAAGATCTTCCATCCGATGATTCACTCCCCAAGTGACCACAATGGCCAGTGCTGTGCCGATCCGAAGCCGGAAACCAGAAACTTCCTCCAGGTCTCCTACACGGGTGCAGGGTCCCAGAGCTTTGGGCCATCTTCAACTGCTTTCCCAGGTCATAAGCAGGGAGCTAGATGGGAAGTGGGGCCGCCGGGACTAGAACCGGTGCCCATACAGGATCCTGGCGCGTTCAAGGTGAGGACTTTAGCCACTAGGCCATGCCGCTGGGCCCGAGGGAATACTTTCAATGTCTGTTGGCTGACATAGTTCAGCTTAGAGTCTCTGTTTACCCGATATTTGCTGTCATCATTGGACTGGCATAGTTATCCAATCTGTCCTGTTCTCCTTCCTCTGTTATGGTAACAGATGTCTTCTGAAGGCCCCAGTGGGCTGCCATATCCTCCATGTGCATCTAGGCCAGCCGTCCATGACTCTGTCTTTTGCACTGAGGAGGACCAGTTCTCACAAGCGGGCCCAAGGCCCAGGGCCGGGTGAACCTGGCTCCAGCAGACCCCCAACACCTGGGGCTCATGGATTTGGCAACCACCACACCGACGGGCCCAAGGATCTGGGCCAGGTGACCTAGACCTTGCTGAACCACAACCCCTGGAACTCACAGATCCTGCACTCACCATGCATGTGGACACAAGGCCCTGGGCCTGGCAACCTGAACCCTGCTGGATTTCCCCCGTCCCCTCTCGGGGCTCATGGACCTGGCACCCACTATACAGAGCCCAAGGACCTGGGCCAGACAACCCAGGTCCTGCCAGCCCTCCTGTCCCTAAGGCTTACAGAATTGGCACCAATCATGCATGTGGGTCCAAGGACCTGAGCCAAGAGACCCGGACCCTGCTGAATCCCCCCACCCCCACCCCTGGGACTCACAGACCTGGCACCTATCTCACAGGCAGGCCTAAGGACCCGGGCAAGATGACCTGGGCCCCACTAGACCACATGCTCCCAGTGTTCCCACCACTCCAGACTGGCATGGCTCATCTCACCTTGGCATCCATCAGCCTAGCTTAGTCTAGCCTGCCCCCAGTTCCAGTTCCTGCTTGTTGGTGTTGTAAACTAGCCTGGCCAAGTCAGCCCCTGTCCTAGCCCCAGAGTGAACTGGCTGGTTGCGACTGGACACAGTGCCTTCTGCACCCTGTCCTGGTTCTAAGATCTGCCAGTGGATGTTATGAATTGGCCCAACCTACTCCCCCCACCCCCGCCAGCCTGACACATATGTGTGATGCTGGGTACTATAACTTGGCCTGGTTTGGGCCACTCCTTGGTTTGGTTCTTGTGCTCACCTGCAGGGCCTGTGTCCTGACAAAGGATTTCCCCAAGCTCCTCGATCAGATCACCACCCTGTGGCAGATCTTATGTACGACAGTGGATCCTTGGCCCAGGTTGACTTTGTCCAGCTTTTGTTCTGGCAGGAACAGTGTCTTTACCCAACTGGCCCATACCCAATCTGGTTCTTACTGTTGGGTATTACAGCCCAGCCTTACCTGGTCCACACCCAGACACAGCTCTCAAGTGGTTCAATGGGAGATGAGACCTAGTTCAGCCTGGTCTAGCACTTGGTCCTTCCCAGATCCAGTCCCTACCCATTCCGAGGAAGACTGCAGCCGTGTTCAGCCTAGCCCACTGCTGGCTCTCATGTTCACAAGTGTGAATCCCAACCCACCTGGGGCATACCCTTAGCTCCCCAATCAGGCCTGTTCCCAGTGACAAATCTTGCACGTGGCAAGAGAGATTGCTATTCAACATGAGAGAGCCAAGATACGCCCCCCACCAAGATTCTGCCCCAGACCTAATTCACTCACATTCTGGGTAGTGTCATGTACCAGCCTCACATTATCCATTCCCTGTTTTGATTCACTAGTGGATTCCATGATCTAACCCTGAAAATACAGTGAGTGGCCTTGTCCGTTGAAGACCCTTAGAAGTCATTCCTCAATTGGACATGAACCCTCAGGTCCCTGCTTGCCCCCACCTATGCCATCCCTCAGATCAATTTTAACTCCTCACCCCAAGCTCCCAAAGTGCACCATTGGGCAGCCCGAAGGCTTTGCCCAATGTCTTTGGCACCCAGGCATTGCTGGACCTCCCCTTCCCTGGGCAGTCATGCTGCCTGGCTCTCCACACCTGTGGTGGACTAAAAAGCACCCAGGCCGCAGGGGTCTGGGGCCTTGCCAGGCCTCCCCATCACTCAGAATTGTTCAGGGTGTCCTTGTTTTGGATTTCTTGGCTCCTCTGGCAGCTGTGTCTCACTCTTCTTCCTGGTCCTCCCTCCAGCCCAGGGTAGCTTAGGGTCAGCCTCAGAAATAGGCTCTGCATTGTGACTCTAGGCTGTGCTTTGCAGCAGATTCTCATGTTCACTTACCTTTTTTTGTACTGACAGTATCCTCTCATTTCCATCCTTTGAATTCTGCCATTTCTGTCCCCTTCTGCTTTAAACTGTCATTATTTATTTTAAAAACACATTTAAGCCACAGTTCTAGGAAGAAGCATTTCCTCAAATAAGTCTTCCATTTTAAAGAGACATCATTTTTTAAGATTTATTTTCTTTGTATTGGAAAGATAGGTTTACGGAGAGGACAGACAGAGAGAAAGATCTCTCATCTGCTGGTTCACTTCCCACATGGCCCCCACGCCCAAAGCTGAGCTGATCCAGAGCCAGGAGCCAGGAGCTTCTTCTGGGTCTCCCACAAAGGTGCAGGGTTTCAAGACTTTGGACCATCCTCTGCTTATTCCCCAGGGCACAAGCAGGGAGCTGGATGGGAAGTGAAGCAGCCAGGACACGAACTGGTGCCCATGTGAGATCCTGAAATGTGAAGAGCAGTAATTGAGCCACTGGTCCATTGCACCAGGCCAGAGACATTTTTAAAAATTATACATTAGAGTGTAAATGCTGTAAGAACAGGGAATTTTTCTATTTTATTCCAGCCACTCTCCCATCGCCTACCATGTGCCAGACATGTGGTCATTGCCAGAAAACACCCACTGAATGAGTGAACAGATTAAGAACCTTGGATAGCTAGGTGTTCAGGTAAGAAGCAGTTTGACATCTAGCTGGAACTAGGCTGTTCAGCATGGAAACCACCCATTTCAAAAGTGCAATAGACACACGTGGCTATGCTTCCCCGTGGGAAAGTACAGCCTCAGAACATTCCCATTGGCACAGAGTTCTGCCTACACTTCCTAAAGCAAAAGCAACCTTTGATTTCCTGAAACAAATGGCAAACTTTATCCCCACAATTTCCATTTCCAAGTGGCCAGAGGGGCAGAGGGGTTTATTTCTATGATTTCTAGGGACTGAGTGGGTAACTCTGTACCTTCTTTTCAGTGAAGTTTCAAAAGTCAAGTCTCATTTTGGGATCTTGGATACATGATCAAGAAAAGCTCTTAGCCACAAAAAAAAAAAAAAAAAAAAAGTTGAGGTAAAAAACTTCTTGCCAAAGCACAGATTTTGTACAGATTGTTAATGTTAGTGATTCCTGGAGAGGGGCTTTTATAGCATGCTAATGCTTGTCCCCACTCCAACCCCATGATTCTAATTCTCCCTGTGTAAGACAGATTTTTCTATGGTTTGTTGAAGTTCATTTAGTGCTGCTCACCACGTCCTTGGTTAGTATGATTGATAGAAATGCAGAAATAAATGTGTCTTTCTTGTTTTATTTCACTTTACAAGCTACCGGGCAATGTACAATATTAAGCAATTATTAGTAGGTAGTAATTTGTTACAAAATACACTTTTAAACTTTGCTTTAACAACATTGCTTATATTTAAATACTGTCTGTAGTCATATTTCTCTGACATTTCTTTTAAACTCTCTAACAGTAAATTGTATATTTTTATTGAAGGTAAAATAAAAGGAAAAGTCTCTAAATGACTTTATATTTGCTAGTTTTGCCTGGAAAAGTTCGACATCTGCCTGGTTGGATTTTCCTTTTCAGAGAAACACTCAGTTGGAAACAAATGGTAAACCTTGAGCGTCTAATAGAAATCTAAACTCCAGATGAAGAGAAAGCATTATTTATTTTTTAATAGTATTCTTTTGAAAAGTCAAGAATAATATATAAGACAACAATACA